TTTTTATAGAGATCGATACTAGCTTTTGTTAATAATATAACAGATCTTCATTTAAAATGTAAAATGAAGTTAGATTGTTAGGAAGTTGGATTGTCGGGATGTTAGATTTTGGGAAGTTGGATTATCAGATGGGTGTTGGAGTAGAGACCCTAAAAAAAGATATCACAGATTACAAAATAACCATTTTCATTACACACAGAAAACGATGAACAAAACATTGCTTCATGTATTAGATTCCAAATATATTATACAGAACAGACAGACAGACAGATAGATGGCTGAACAAAACAATATTTATTGCTATTAGATCCAGAAAAAGATAAACGTGGGAAAAAAAAGATATTACACAGACAAATTATGAAATAATATTTCCGTTGCATGCAGAAAATGATATTAAAATAAGATAGAAAGATTACGCCGACCGTTTAAACAGAAACATTTATGCGGTTACGTGTAGATCCAGAAAAGGTGACGTGTTAAAAACAGAGACATTAAATAGACTTTAAATAAACAATGCGGTTACATGTAGGTGAACATGTAAACAAATAAATAAAAATAAACAAAAATAAATAAAAATAAACAGAAAAAGGTAAACAAAACGGGGAACATTCTGAAAAAAAAGAAAATTACACGACAAATGATGAAATGAAATTTCCCGCTACATGCAGAAAATGATGAATGAAATGAGGTTTTATTGCTGTTACATGTAGATCTAGAAAAAGGGTAAACACATTAAAACACAGACAGACAGATGACGCCGCCGCCGTGAAACGCAGAAAAAGATGACCTTGAGCAAAACAATGTTTATTGCTATTAGATCCAGAAAAGGTAACACGTTAAAAAGAGATATTACACAGACACATTACGAAATCATATACCGTTGCATGTAAAAAAAGACTAAATGAACATGTGAATTAAGATATTATATCGACAGACTTTATCGAACTTACACTGACAGATGAAGAATATTTATCTTATACAGTAATAGTGCTGTATAATATTATGATACATGAAGAATAACATCGATACCTTTGTCGATAATGTTGTATTTATTTGTTCTAATAATATGGCTGACTTCATATTCTCATTCTCTATAAAAAGCACGAACTTTTATCTTTACCTCATAACTAATGAATTAATTCTTGGCAAAAGGAAACTCTCTTCTCAATTTACCCTTTTAACAAATTAACTGTACTATTTAAAATGTCTACTATCGTTAATTATGATCACTTGGACCGTAATGAATTGCTATTTTTAAGTCAACACCCTTACCAATTATTTCTTCCTATTGAAGAATTAACTAAACCAGCTGTAAAAAAACGCAGTGATTCTAACCAACCACCACGACCGCAAAATAGCTGGATAATTTTTCGAAGAGATTATGAAGCGCGTTTACGTTTATTCGATCAATACTCTAAACAAAAAGTTAAAGAAACAGCGAAACAGTGCAGTTTAAAGTGGCAAACTCTATCAAATGAAGACAAGTACTTCTTCAAAATATTAGAGAAAATAGCTTACGAGAAGCATAAACGCTTATATCCTAATTATAGGTATAGACCAAGAAATGTAAAAGATTCAAACGTTAAGAGATGGGTCTTTCGCGCACATACATTTACTTCGGTATCCATCTCTATCTCAACGGGTAATCATTCACTTCCCCAAGAAGCTGCACAAAACATTATGTCATCCTCTTTAAATGATATAACGTCAACAACATCAGCATACAGTCATGCTGCCATTACCACTTCAACTTATCCTTCCATGATAAATATTAATAATGAAGCTGAAAATTTGATCGACGCCATATTTAATGAAATAATTTCGTTGGATTAATTTCCTTTTTTACATCTGGAAATGACGAGGAAGTTCATGTTAACATTAATGGTACATGTAATGTCTCGCTCATCAACAAGCCAATTGATCACTAATAAACAAGCAACATCACTAATATCTTTATTAAATATAATTAGATAAACTATAATAAGATAAATCTAGAGATTTGAAATTTCTAATCTATATAAAATATTAACATAAACATAACAATATAGATTTTCCTCGACAACTTTTACTTAATTATTTGTAAATTCATTATTCGTATTTTCGTTTTATACATTCTTTCGTCATGTATTCGTTCTGTTCTCGTTTCTTTCATTTTATTTTACTAATTCGTTTAGTCTGTTCTTATTAGCTCCTTGTGTCAGCTTTTATACTTTTCTTTAACCGTCTTATCTTTATTTAATTTATCTAAAATATCCTTACGAATGTTTCTGTCTTTTTCGAAAATTTGAAACTTGTTTATAAATAAATACATTAACTCTATGATCCATGGCGAATTCTCACCACACATTTGAGTAAGATTATCGATCAATATATCATGCAACTCAAATACAGCGTTCTCCCAGGTTTTTAAACACCCACAATTTTGCGATAAATTGAAGTCAATTTTTAAGGGAATGTTCATAAAAGGGCTGGTTGCTATTAAACATAAATTGTTAATTTATAATGATTTCGGCCCTGGTAGAACCTATTCGTTTAGAAAATTGTAGAACTTGAGTATTTAGATGTCACATGAAACAGTTTTTTTAATATAGAAGTTAGTTGGTTAATGGTGAGATAATTAATTAATGAAAGGTCATGACGTTATTAGTAAGCAAAAATTACATAGAGTTATTTGGTAATACATAGTTTACAATATTATAAGATAAAAGAGATTTCTCGTGCGAAAGTGACAAAAACGCTAATTATTCATTCATATTTATATTATAATATACAAACCACTTAGTGTAGTATGTAGACTTCACTATAATTAAGCCAGAGCTGCAAAGTTAACTTGATTTTCATATCTATGGCATCAATATATCGTTGATTTTTACGGGTCTTAATACCAGGAGTAATTATACACCCGGCGGATAAAAATCACCGGACACTTCATAAATCACACATTTTTAGCATATGTGTTGGTAGTGGTTTAAAATTAGTCTGCGCAATTTGCGCAGACAAATCGGAGATTGGCAACAATTTGTTAGAACAATCTGCAAATTTCACAGTCAGATATAGAAATCAATCTGCGCAGATAAAGTACATTTATTTACATTGCTACCCAGTGGCTCGAATGCTGGAGATCTACTTGGTAAACCATGAGACTGAGCTCTTTTTGAGTTGCCTGATCGATCTTCTTTATATTGGTGTCGCTAGTTCCTACTGTTACCATAGTAACATAAATTTCTTTAATTTCATAATTTTTCGAACTTGGAAAATGTGACCAATCAATTGATCTTT